CGAATGGAAAATAATCGCTGCGGAAACGGAGTTGCGGGGGAGCCGAGAGGGATTATTACAGGCGCTGGCAGTGGCGATGCTGTCAAGGAGCCTGTGTCAGCACTTCCATTACCACCCACCTGGTTTCAGCACGGCCCCCGAAGAGACGTGCGGGGCTGCAGGGCCCCAGCATGGGGTCATTTCTATTCAGAAGAGTTTCAGATCAACTGGCTTTGATTGGGTTTAAATGATGGAGTGTTTAAGAGGAAGAGAGAGGAAATAGGAGGGTGAGATGGAGGGAGGTATCTCAGAGGAGGGGGAGTTTGATACTCAGACAAGTGGAAAACAGTTTGAGATAGGAGAGATCAGGAATTGGGAGGGAAGAGCTGGTCCTCCCAGGGGCAAATTTCTGATGGCTGCAAGGAAGAACAGTGTGGAAAGAAGACCTGAAACCCGGGCAGATGCCCTGGGGTCTGCCCAGTGAAGGGCTGTTAGGAAAGAGCAAACGCATCCCCAGCAGGGAACGTGACCCCACCAGTGCTCCATACATGCTGCCACCACCTGTGCCACCCACAGTGGCAGTCCCTGGAGAGGCACCCGGCTGTGAAATAAGCCATCAGTGGAACTGAGCAATTGAACTATAAACAATTTATTTCATTCATTTGGCAAATTGCTGAGCTCTTGGGCAGAGCAAGCCCTCACACCTTGTAAACTTTGCTCGTTCAGAGTGACTTGGGAGCATCGTTTACTTCATGCTGTGTAGTGACAAGGGGCTGTATACATCATGTGCTGTCATGGCTGTCAGCAGGCTGAGTCCCTTGTTTTCTCACTTAAATAGTCTGCAAAACAGCATTTCCCTTTCTGCTTGTGAGGGGAAAGCTCTCCCTTCCAAGTGACCCAGTCCTGGCTTACAAACACCTCGGGGTGCTGTCAGCCCTCCATTCCAGGGCATGGACACAGAGGGGAAGCGGGGATGACTTCATGCCTTCACACCTCTTCAGTGCCACACTTAATCCCTGGTACCTGAGCCCAGTTCCCAGCCCAGAGACCAGATCCCACTAGCAGCTGCTTCATGGGGAATCAGGCCTGACTCAGAGGATGCAGGAGAATTATGTTGGATAGGTATCAGTGTAACTGAGGGCAGGATCTGGTCCTTGATCCCCAGAGGAATCAGGAAGGTTCAGTTCAGTCCCCACCTGGGCTGGGATCTGTTTGCAGATACCCTCCAACAGAGCCCACGGACAAATTCCTCAACACAGGGGTGCGTCTGCGTATCAAGCCCTCTGCTTTCAGAGCAGGAAATATTCAGTTTCAACACGTGGAGTTAAACATTTCCGCGGAGCCCAGGAGACCGTGCAAACAGCAGGAGCACCAAGGCTCTGCCTTTTCATCTCTCTGGCACTGGCGAGCTGGGGTCGGCAGCAGGGGAAGCACGGCAGAGCCGAGGAGGGTAAACACTGAAGCTGAGCCTACCGAGTAACCAGAGAGCGAAGGGGAGAGAGAGGGGCAAAGAAAACAAAAACACAGCTGCCAAAAAACAAAAGCCTGAAAAGAGCCATTCAGGGTCTCCCAGGAGCGGGTTTGGCACAGGGCAGGGAGGGACAAATGAGGAGCATTCGCTGCTGGGGCAGGCGTGGGTCCAGCCCACTTGGGGATATGAACCCTTTGTTTTGTCCTGGGCAAATCTATGCCCTCTGCTCCCTCGAGTGGGGTGAGTACCTACACGAAGTGTAGCATCCTTTGCTTTTTCATGGGTACCAGGTTGTCCCTGCTCCGGAGAGGAGAGGCAGGATATAGGCATCTCCCTCCACCTTTGCATTCACAAACAAAACCTGAGGATTCACAATGCCCATCATCTCCCTCCCCACAAAGCAGCATCCCACACCACGGAGCTGGGTACCGCTGCCTGGTGTGAGACACCACAGCATGGGCATGTGCCAGGCTCTGGGGCATGCTGTCGATGCATATGCCAGTGATTTGGGGAGACACATCCCGCTGGCAACCTCTGTGGCACGGCGGGCATGCAGCAGGTTTCACAGACCTAAGGAGGTTTGTGTAGGTGTCCTGCTGGCATGGGAGATGATCCCTCCCTTCTGCCTGTCACTTGCACTTAGCCCTGCTCCTACAAAAGCACAGTTGTCAGCCCCTTGGGCCAGGAGCTAGGGCTCTTTCTGTCTCCTGCTTTGCAATCTGTGCATCAGGGACTTGGCTGTGTGTCTGGGTCCCTGTTCTCCTGTCCCTCTGGAAGCCCTTGCTTTAGTGCAAGCACCAGCCTCCTGCACTCACTGGAGCAAGGGGATCTTCTCCGGCTGTCACAGGGATGTGGGGTGACAGTTGTCACATCCTTGGCATGAGTTCGCCACCATATCATTGAGGTAACTGGTGGGTAAGACCATTGCTGTTCATTTCTCCTGCTGGGCTGGGCTGGGGTTGGGAGAGGCCATGGAAGGCAGCAAGCTTCCTTCCCATGGCCTGAGATCCCTCCTGGCTGCGCTAGCCTTTGAGATCCAAAGTCACCTCTGCTTAGGAACATGCACCCCATGGAAAAGCCCCAAAGAACAAGCAGGAAGCAAGGACTTGGGCATGCAGGAGGTTAAAAAAGCCACCAGCCTGGTGCTACAGAGCTCATCCCCAGGAGGGACTGCAGCTGTGCCTCTTGCTCCAAGGCTACCCATCCCAGTGATGCAGTCCAGGACACTCCGTCACCGCTTCCAGCAAACAAACATCCCTGGGCTTCCCGGAGAGCAGAGACCTGGGGATGCTCAACCTCCAGTTCACCCTCTGGTGCTGCCAAGAACATCCATGCCCCACTAGCCCAAACTGTGGGTGGCAGTTGAGAGGGGTTCATGGGCCCCATGGTGGTGACCTGGGCTGGGAGAAGGGATACAGCACAGTAGGGCGGAGGGCAGCCTGTTTACCCCTCCATCTGCACACCCCACAGCGGGGATCCAGCAGGATTTCCCGTCCGCTCAAAGGCTGCCTGTTTATTTTGGGAGGGAGACTCAGACAGCTCCATTGTTTTCCTGCAAAGTTGGGGTTATAAATAGCAGGTGGTCGGGGACGCTCCTGGGCTATTTTGGGCCCCCACTATACAAAAGTGGAGAAGCTCCAAGAGGAAGGTGGAATTACTGAAATGCTGACCTTTCCCGCAAGGGTCAAAGGGAGCTGGTTGTTTGGGTTTGGGTTGGGTTCTGGGCATTATTTAAACACAAGGGAAGGAGGAGAGAGGAAGATGTTCCCAGTTGCATGGGCTGCATGCTGTGTCCTCTCTGGCAGAAGGGTGGCAGGGATGAGGAGCCGAGGCGCTGAGGGCCTGCCAGGGCTCTGCCCAGGAGCTGTCAGGAGCAGCTCAAGTCCAGAGGAGAGACTGGCTGGGTTTTTCTCCTGGCTCTGCAAATGGGAGACTTCCCAGCGGATTGAGAAGCTGGGGAGGTTGGGTATGCCCCATAGCACTGGACTGGCCCAACTTGCACCTTACACCTCAGTTTCCCCCACCTCCTATAGGGAGGCTGAAGAAAAGGGCAGGTAACGTCCCAACAACAGACCCGCTCCCACCAGGCACATGCACTGTGTCCTGCTGGAAGACAAGGATGAGCCAAGGTGACTCTCAAACTTATTTCAGACCCTTCCTCTCGTTAAATGCCTGCACCAGGCAGTTATACAGTGAGCAGCAGGAACCCAGTAAAGCCGCTCACACCAATGTTTTATACCTTGAGAAGGTCTATTCCTTTAATGGGGATTCATTTAACTGGGCTCTGCCATCGTTAGGAGCCATAAAATGGCACCTTTTGGCTCTCAATTGGAAGGCCACGGTGCACGCAGCCCCCTTGTATCCAGCGTCGTCTGCTTTATTGTGCATTACTGCCTCTCACTCGAATTTAACCAATTTGATACACGTCTAATACATAAATAAATAATCCAGCAGGAGGGTTCATGTTAGATGACAACAGGCGGCTATAAAGCATGTTTCTCCCCGCCGGAGCCATCTGAGCCAGGCTCCGCACGCCCTCTCATGAGCAGAGCTGCTAATACAGCTGGGAGAGGGGGGCCTGGAGACCCGCGGGCTTCTCTGTTTTATTGAAACTTCATTGTTTGCTTTAGAGTTTTATTTTATGTTAAATAGACGCTGTATATTCCTTACAGTGGGGGCAATAAAGTTTCTGAGCTGGAGGAAATTGGCTTCGGAGCAGGGAGTTAACCAGGGAGAAGTGGCTGAGCAGGGGAGCAGTGAGGAGGATTTGGGGCAAGGAGGGTGTGAGGTAATGCCCTGCTTCCAGGGTGGCCCCAGGGGCTCAGCTCAGCTCAGCTCGAGATTGGGGTCCACAGACACCCCCAGATCTCACCCAGAGATGATGCAGCCCCAGAGGACGCAGGGCTCAGGCATCTACAGGGCCCAGAACTGCTGGTGGTCTGGAGAGGGTGAGGGGTGTCCTCCTCCCAGCCTGGGGACTGGGTGAGCAATCGCCAGTGACTGCCAGGGTGGCTGTGCCGAGCATCCAGACCTGCTCCCTGCCATCCTCAGCCCAGCGCTGCAGGATCTCCTCTGCCTCCAAACCGTTGTGTGCCCATGGAGGATTGCTCTGCCCTGCAGGGGGTTATCCTGACCCACCCGACTTCAGGGGTGCTGAGGTGGATGAAGATGGCTCTTCTTAACTTACTGTTATTAAATAAGAACAGTGGGTAGTGCTGTGTCATCTGTCTGCCCCAAGTCACACCACCCACACTGTAAACTGGGGAAATTGGGTTTGCATGGGGTCACTCCTGAAATGTGGCTGCTCCCACAAGACTGGAAGGCCCATGGCTGGAGCTGGGATGCTCTCATGCCAGTTGTTGCCCCACTGCAGAACAGATCCAGTCTCTGCTGCAGGGAGCACGGGATGGTGAGAGAAATGGGGCTATACTGAGAGAAAATCCCACCCTGTTTCACACCTCAGCTAGGACAGGGACTAGGGCAGAGTACAGGGGATGCTGATGGCAGCCGACCAGAGCTAAAGCTTTCTCCCCTCTTTTCCTCCCTGCAGGCAAAAAGAAAGCAACTTTGTTTGACAGCCAAGCTCCGATCTGCCCCATCTGCCAGGTCCTACTTCGCCCTGGGGAGTTGCAGGAGCACATGGAGCAGGAGCTGGAGAAGCTCACCCAGCTGAACATCAGGTAAGCAGCCCCCTGGGGTCCACCAGCATCCCCGGTTAGCCAGCCAGGGCACCCACAGATGGCAGAGGAGATGGTGGTACCCACAGCCACCAGATATGGGAGATCTAGTGCTAGCCAGAGGGTCAGAAACATTTCCTTGGAGTTCACCACAGTGGTAAAGCCAGGCAGAGATGCCTCCCGTAGGGCATAGACACCCCTTGCCCTAGGGATGTGTGTTCAGGTGGGCAGCTCATGTCCAGTGATGGAGCAGGTCTGCAGCAATGGTGCACACCACCCCTCAGCTGCCTTCAGATCTCTTCTGCTTTCCCCAGCACAGCAAAGTCCTCTATTTAAAAAAAAATAATAATAATAATTGCATTTTAACTGCTAGCATTTAGGAAATGGCTGCAGCCAACGGTTGGCAGATCCCTGCCCCTGCCTTAATAAAACTCAGCAGCCTTGGAAAAGAGCGTGTTTATTTCAATTATTAATGAATTCCCCGGTCATTAAAAGGTGAGGAAAGGAATCAAACTGCCAGCTAGAAGCAAAGTTACGTCACCAGGTGGTAGGAGAGGAGGGAGAGCACATGTGTCAGTGTGTGTGTGTGTGTGTGTGTGTGTGCACCAGGGCAAGGGGGTGCACGTGGCTGTGCATGGTGTGGAGGATGCAGAATCTGTCCCTGCTCGGCTTGGATCTTGTTTGTAACTGAATGATAGCCGTTGCAGATGAAGGGAGAAGGAGGGAGCTTTAGCTAAAGAAAGAGCTCCCCAAGTGGGTCTGGGCTGAGATCTCCCAAATTCAGCACCCGCAGCCTCAGGCTGAGACCCTCATCCCCCACACATTGCACAGGAAGATGGAGAAGTGGGGGGGGGGGGGTTTATCCCCCGCAACACCCAGTCCCCTTGCAAGCGTAATTTATGGTGTAATTTGGGCTGCATCCAACTTAATAAAGGGCCACTGCAAATTAGTGAACAGGTTTAAATGAACAGAAGCAATTAGTGCTCGGAGGAGCCCATCAAAGAAGTTGGGCCAATATCAGAGTGAAACTGAAACCGCAAGCCAGGAGCGGAGGCTGGCTGGCGCGAGGCGGTGATGGGAAGGTGGCGTTTAATGGGAAAGGAAAGGAAACCCTAAATCATAAAGCATGACAAGGGCCATTGTGGGCCAGCTGACAAATGAAAAAGAATGGCATTATTCCTTTAAATAACAGCAGCAGTTAGAGAGGAGACAGCTCTCCTCGGCTTGCCCTCACTTCCCTGGCCCGCTCCACTCGGCCACGCAGGCGGCGAAGAAGAATCAGAGGTCTTTATTAATTATTAAATAACGACTCCCTCCGTAGCGTGATAGATAACGTTCAATCTAGTCGATGGATTCAGGCGATGGAGGCTAATCTGTAAGACAGTAGCTCTGCACAGGGACAGTCTCTCCCAGTCCTGGAGGGGAGCGATGCAGGGGCCAGCCAGCAGCAGGCAGGGCAGGCAGGGTGGGCAGCAATGGCAGGCAGCAGGACACAAGCAGGTCCATCTCCTGGGCGCTGCCCAGCTCCGGTGGGGTGGCTTGGTCTAGCGGGTGGCCCTGTCTCCCATTCCCCCACCTTTCCTGCCTGGAGGAGCCGGGAGCAAGAACACATCAACAAGAGGAGAGAGAAACTAATAATGATCTCAAATAACCCAATAAACATAAAAATAAAATGTAGGCCTATAAACGTGACGGGCACCGGCAGCCCTGGCCGCTCCCTGCCAATACCGACTTGTTACCGAAATGGCTGAGCAGCTGTTACTTATCAGTCTGATGGGGAGAAGCAAACCGGGGGGCTGCTTTCCAAGGGCCGTTGTTTTTTGTTGGTTTTTTTTTTAATTTAAAGAGGTTACAGCCAATCCTGGGTTGTGCTGTTAAGTTTTAATAAACCTTAATGATTTGCAACAAAATAATAAATTTCCAGCGCTTGGGGTTAGGAAGGCAGATCCACTCCTGCCCGCTGAGCCTGCAGCACCAGAGACTTGGCAGGCGCCACATCAGCTCCCGCCACAACACCGGGGCTCCCCGTGTGCCGGGATCTCCCCTAAGGCAGCACGGCCGTGGGGCTCTATGGTGGGGTGAGCCAGCAGAGATGCTGCCATAGGGCCAGAGGAGGGGAGACGCTGGTGGAGAAGCAAGGTGGAGGGGCTGCTCCACATCATTGCTTCCACCGGGTGTTTAGTGCTTATGTGAGCTCTTGGGCATCTCTGGAATGGGGAGCTTAGCATAGCTCCGAGGAGGACAGAGGAAGGGAAGGAGGAAAAAGAATTTTGCCACGTGAACATAGGAGCTCTGTGGGGCTGAGATACAAAGGAGCGGTAGGAGCTGCCTGGATGATGCTACCCATGGTCCCAGCTCACCAGGAACTTGGGTTGCATCCCACCCACACCAATGCACCCTTTGCTCAGCTGGCAGGAGTGGGGTTTGCTATAGGGACAGGGACAGCCCTTCTTTCCCACAGGCATTGCTGTTGTGACCATTCTGGCCTCAGAGCAGGGACATCTCAAGGTCTACCAAGCTGGAGCATCATGCGGTGAGGCAGAAGGAGCCATGCTGAGCCACAGGGCAGCACCCACCCATGCCAAGGGGTTGTTCATGCCCAGGGGATGGACACCAGCCTTTGGACCTGTGACAAACACCACTCAGGAGGATCCAACCCTGGTGCAGGGTCAAGCTTTCCCTTGGAAAAGGGGACTTGAGTGGAAATGAGGGACCTGAGTTTCTAGCTCTGCTGCCTTCTTGGTGTGTCCAGTCACCCAAGCACAGGGAGGGACCTGCTTGTGCTCACCCCACAGCTCCTCCACCCTGCACGGGTCTGGCCGAGCCCGGTGCACAGCTCCACACGGCAAGGCAAGGCTCTCTGAATGCAAATTTCATTTCTGAGCCACTGGCGCTGTTTCAAGAGCCGGCAGCCTCCGAGCCCTTCTCGGTGTTACATATGTAACAGCCTCATTGAACTTGACATGTCAAATTCAGGCCATTTGTGCAAAATCTCCCTTTAATAATACCGTTTCATTTCGCTCAAATGAGACTTGAATGCATGTAAAATGGAAAAGGATATTTAAGCGCTAACATTAGGCAGATGTCTTGCCAGAGGCCGATTGAATATATGAGATTTTGAAGTGCTTAACACGTTTTCGGTGCTCCCTCTTAGAATATGTCACCTGGCTTTCTTTTTTCTCCCCCTCCTTTCTTTTTTCCCCCCCTCTCTTTAAGTGAAGGGTATAAATTGAAAGAAAACAAAACTACAAGCCTTGGTTTTATGGGGTTTAACTCTTGCCGGGCAAGACTGTTGGTATTCCTCCTGCAAAGAGAAATTACCTAGTAGCTCACCTTTGCAGAGCACAGGCACAAAGCAGCAGAGTGGGAGGTGGGCGAGCGTTGGCCCCACAGCTCTGTACAGAAGGGATTCTCTCCTTGCTCTGCATGTACCACTCAAAGAGCAAAAGGTGCCAATCCCCACCTGAGCAACTAAGTGCCACAAAGGTAGAAATAAGAAATAATAACAGTGACTCTCTGCGTACACCAATGCCCCGTATCCCAGCCAGGTTGGTCACTGCAGAATATATGAATATTCCTGACTTGTGTGCATGAAGCTTATCTGTGTGCTAGATGCGGGTGTCCTATCGTCACTTGATTTACATTCACCTGTTTTACACCTCATCCGTATTAAAGGCTTGCAATAAAGCACACTGAAATGTGAGACTCTTTCTGGAGCTGTCAATGGCTCCAGCTCAGAGCTTTGACTGGTGCTTTGGCTGCAGATGCATTTCTCCAGCCCAGGACCACCCAAGGAGTGCAGGCAGGCACAGCATTTGAGAACAGCACCCATGGGTGTTCCTTGGGACAGGCACACACACACCTCACCATGTGCGTACAGGTGTATCGCTGCGTATGTCGCTGCAGGTAAATACTATGAGTGGAGGTGGTGGTGTGCAGGGGGAACCTTAAACCCTGCCTGCTGCTCCCCAGGCAGTGACTGGAGAGGACAATCTCCTGATGATGGGGGAGGCTGGGTGGAGAAGGGACAGGTCTGGGGCTATGGTTTGAGTTTGTGGTGGGAGGGAAGATGAGTTTCAGGACAGGAGTAAAGGAAGAAGTAGGAGCTGTGGAGCCTGCCTCAGCTGATGGTCCCCAGTGGGTCCATGATGCTTTCTAGACTTTGGGGAAGTGGCATTTATTAGCCATTTAAGAAACCTTGGGAAGTCACACTACAAATATTAGTTGCTGAGTCAAGCACTTGAAGGTTGGTAATGTGCCTTTGGATGCAGTGGTTTTAATAACAAGATGCTCCGTTCTTGAATATGTAGTGCTCTTTTTAAAAAATTTATTTGGCGGGGGGGGGATTTCATTCCCCTGTGTGGCAGCTAGCAGATTCTTCCCTGCATTACCAGTGGCAAACCTATGTTTCAGAGCTGTGATTTCACCTCCCCAGAAGGATGAGGTGTGTATCATTATAGCTGAGGAATGGCCCAGAGGGTGGAGCAGTGTTGGACCATGCCGGCTCTGTTCCTGCTTTTGCAGCTGAAGGACGGTGCAAGCTCAGACAGGGCTAAACCCTTATTTAAATGGGGTTTCTAAGCTTAACAGATGTAGCCAGCAGTACCCTCATGCCATTATGAGCCACATAATGGCTCATGCCATTACCTGTGCCTGTGCTGTGGCATCCCAGGGTTGGACATAGAGGTGCAACAGCCATCTGGGGTGCTCGGCAGGGTGCCACTGGGATGGATGTGCTTGGGTGCGCGAGTAGGGGGGATGCTGTTCTCACAGTGCCCCATGGCTGTGCAGACTCTCCCCTCCTTCATACATCTTTCTCTCCTCCTTTCTTTCTTTCTTTCTTTCTTTCTTTCTTTCTTTCTTTCTTTCTTTCTTTCTTTCTTTCTTTCTTTCTTTCTTTCTTTCTCTTTCTTTCTTTCTTTCTTTCTTTCTTTCTTTCTTTCTTTCTTTCTTTCTTTCTTTCTTTCTTTCTTTCTTTCTTTCTTTCTTTCTTTCTTTCTATC